GTGAGGACGGCGCTGCGAGTCACTCACACCCTCTTCTCCATATCGTGATAGCGTTACAGTCTTGAATAAGATCATCACAGCATATCCTTTCCAGAAGTCCATCGCATCCATTCATCTCGGTCTCCGTTCAGCCTCACACATCCACTACAAGCATCACCGTCATCATCACCATCAAATCAGAGGCTACCGCGTCACTTGTGCAACTGTGCCGCAGTCCCTTCCACCTCGTCAGACCTTACATTGCGCAGTCCGGCTTCCCTTCCGAGCTGGGAACTCGTCAAGACTCGACCTCTTCGCAGCGCAGCGCACTCGATCCCCATCGCTTACTTCTCCACGCATGCCTACAGCGGTTCTCATGGCTCCCTCGGCCCTCGATGCGACTCCTCACTCAAAGTCAGCTCATGCTTCAGCACTTCCACAAGCAACCTCCATTTCGTCAGGATTTGTGGCACTCTCTAATGGCCGATCTGAACACATGAACCGGCCGACGGCGAGCAGCGCAGACGTGTGTGTGACCTCTTCTAATGGGAAACATGATGCCTCTCGCACTCTTCCAGTCATCGGGAAGCCTTCAAATGGCCAAACCAATCCGCACCACTATCACCACCAGCAGCAGCACCTGCAACATCAGCACAAGTACCCTTCCCTAACTCCCCATCTGGCCACGCATATCACCATCAGGTCCCACCCGGAGCGAGGCAGGGGTGTCTTCGCAACGCGTGACCTTTCTGCGGGCACCGTCATAGACATCAGTCCCGTGCTCCTGTTCCCAGCCGACGAGTACGAGCAACACGGTCAACATACGCAGCTGGACAGCTACACGTTCGTCTGGAGAAGATCCAAGGAAGGCTCAGAGATGGCTCTTGCCCTGGGATTGGGTCAGTTGACATATTGCACAATCTTGCTCGCGTCTCCGCTCCAGCTTACGTCGCCCTTGTCCCCTTAGGCTCCCTGTTCAATCACGACCCCATCGCCCCAAACGTCTCTTACACTCTGGATCACTCCTCACAAGTCATTCGCTTCACAACCGCACGGCCGGCGCAAAAGGGCGAAGAGCTATGCATCAGCTACGGGGCTGGAAGAATGTGGTGGGAAGCTAGCGAAGGAGAATCTTCGCGCGCGGATTCGCACAACGAACTCGACGAAGACGAGCTGCTGCGTTTAGGTCAGGGTCTCGACGAGGATTGGGAGGCTGACAAGGGCATTGCTACGATGCAGCACATCAATAGGCATGGGTTGCGGAATGGTCACCCTGTCAAGCCATCAGCGTCCAGCAGTGACCACGGGCCTCGCGATGCTGCGCTATCCACAACGCCATCGCTTGCAAGCACTGCGCAACCTCGCTCTGCTGTGGCACAGGGCAAGCAACCTGAGCGCGGCAGACTGTGGCGTCTAACGGAGGCCATCGATCCCGAGAGCGCACCTCTCGAGCTTTTGCCAGCTTGGGTCATCGACGTGGAGCCTCGGCGCACCGGCGCGTTTGTCAGCTTCCAACAAGCTTTCAAGAAGGCCGTGCAAGCAGCTGGGGTATGCGAAGATCCGCAATTGATAGTGAGACATCTTCGCACCTACCGCAAGACCATGCTGTCACCGCCGGCAGGAGCTGAGGCATCATCAGCGGGTCACAGTCGGCCTGCAGAGAAGCCAAGGCCGATACTGCAGGGAATGATTTGTGCGCAGCAGAACATGCCCAGCAAGGAAATGCTGCTCGAACTCTTGGTGCGACTTGGGGCTTCCAGCTTCACTGTCAATGGAGGTGAGCCGACGCCCTACTTGGTGGACGTACCGGCAGATCCGGCTCCTTCGCGCAGTCGACTAGCCGACTGGACCTCGTACTGGCCCACTAACCACCAATCGCGAGGAAACGACTGCGCGGGATTGCAGTCCTCCAATGCCAGCGTACCGCTGATCGTGGACCGGATGAAAGACGAACAGCTATGGACGCCCGAAGCGCTTCAATGGGCCCGAAGCCACCTGCGAAAATGCGTCGACTTGGCTTTGGAAGCGAAGTCGAAGGGGCAAGTGCCTATAGCTGCGCGCGTCACTCTACCCTTCCACTTGCCGCCCTGGCGAGGAGGCGGCGTGCCGAGGACGACTTCGAGTGGGACTACGCACACTTCCAACAGCAGTTCAAGAGCAGGCGAGGACAGTCCGAGAAGCGACGGCGCTACGACTTGCGAGGAGCCGCAAGCGCTGCGCAACGCAGCGGCGGCAGCGATCGCAGCTGCTGACGCAGCAGCCGTCACTAGCGCTCCTATCGAAGCTGCGGCCCACGACACGCGGATAGAGGAGCGAAATCCATTGAAACATGCCGTCACGAATGTGATCAAGACGGTGGCCAGCATTCGATCCGAGCGAGAAAAGGAGCGACACAAGCTGCTGGGACATTCTCTGGCCGATACGCGCACGCCGTCGCCGACCGTCGCGGGCGCTCGGAGCACGCAAGAAGAAGTAGAGCTTGGAGAAGAGCACAGAGCTTCAGCTTTGATTGCTGCTGCTGGTGGTGGTGGCGGTGGTAGCGGTGGTAACGAATCGCCTGCGCGGTCAGTCTCTAGCATCCCAGCGCGAGGAGCAGTAGCGAATGGGCAGGATTACCTCTTGACCTCTTTAGCGCTCTTTACGACTCACGAACCATGCTTATCCTGCTGCATGGCGCTCATACACTCTCGCGTCAGGGTGCTGTACTTTTTGTACCCTTCGCCAGGCGCTGGTGGATGCTGCGGCGCTGCGACGGGGAAGCTGTTGGGAGGCAGGGACGGTGGTCCGTATGCTGTGCATGAACAGAGCGGTCTGAATCATAGATTCGAAGTATGGCGTTGGCTAGGACCGTTGGACGAAGATGCGACGGAGGAGGACAGTGCAAAGTTGAAGCAGGAACTGAGCATTGATGGGCTTGAACCCTAGAGCAGAGCAATGGCATGATGCTACATCTACATGCGGCGCAGTGAAGTTCGTCGTGAGCGACATTGTTCGCGTCTCCTTTATCGTCACAAAGGCTTCGCCTTCATCGGTTTGCCTTCATCGTCCAAACGAACATCTCCTTTGAGACCTCCTGACCAGGGTCGGACGGCCGCTGCCGCCGCTGCCGGGGCGGTCGAGGATTCCTCAGCTTGCTTCGATTCCTTGTCGTCAAGCGGTTTCACATTCTCATCCTGGCCCCAGCCATCTGGCGCTCCGGCATACTCGCCCCAGCCGCGAATACCCTCGGCCTCATTGATGCGCAAGATGACCTCGGTCGAGTTGATACCTTGCAGCGCATCCCATTCGCGCTGACACGAAATTCTGATAGCGGGTTTGAAGGGAAAGGGGGGGAGGCAAAAGGGTGTGAAATGGGTGCGGATGAGTGGCCAGAAGTGAGAGGCGGGGATGAGCAGAAGGGTAGAGGGATGTTTACCCACCCGAATTTGTCATAGTCGAAGCTCTGGTGCGGATCGCATGCGCATCTCGCGGCGTCTTTGCGAGATCTGGGACAGTGATGGATGGGGTTGTGGAAGTATCCAATGTCTGTGCGTCCGTCAAAAGGCTCGCGCTCGTCAGCAACCCTCGTACGGTACGCTAGCCACATGGCAAAGCGTCGATTAAACTCACCCTCAAAGTAGCTTTATCATACGCGGTTCGGGATATGCAGGATCAGCCTGGTCGAATGGATCGCTCCGCAGCTTTCACTCACTGTATCTCATCGCGATTGAGCAACATGGAAGCGGCTATGCTGTGCACCTAGTGCGAAGACCAGAAAATTTTAAGCAGATGTTTGGAACGCTGAATGATGCTCTGCGGCAACTCACTGGCGCATCTCCCCATCTTTCGTAGAATGTGCCTCCGGCAGCGTCCAGGTGGGCCCAGAAGGACTGGTCTGCGATTTCCAAACATTCGATCAGCTTGATGAGGGCCCATAGAGCACAAGAAAATGTCCTTGACTGCTCACATGCTTGGCTTCTCCAAAGAGAGAGGTCTGCGATCTCGAAATCTGAGCAGAAAGCGACAACAACAGGCCTTGATCAGCACTCGCAGATCATTATGGACTGTGAACGGAACATCGACTCACTTGACCCTACGAAATTGGTTGGGTGGGCACTCTTTCAAAGTTAGTCAATCAATGATGCAACGTTAGAGGACTATAGACCCACAGAAATGACACTGCGGGCGCAAAGTGCAGACAAGATTTAGGAAATGAATGCAGACTGTATCAAATTCACGTGGAAGACGCTTCTGCTCACCTTGTTGTAAGCGTTCATGTGTGGCTTTGCGACGAAGCGCAGGGAGTTGTCCGCTGGAATCAGATGCTCGTGCGTATTGATCCAGTCTGTCGCGGCGGTCGCTTGACAGTCAGTGCACACGCTTTCCGAACGACGTGTAAGCTAGGCTCACCCAGAACAGACATCTGCGTTGATCGTCAGGCGGGCGTGATCGAATGTGCCTCAGTCAGCCTTGGAGCCGTCAGACTGCTGTGACGTTCCGAAAACAGAACTCACCCACAGTGTCCTGATGGTTCCCGGGCTTTCCTTGATGGTGATCACGAAGCCGTACTTCTTGCCGTTGTCTGTCACACAATGCGATGAGCAAAGATGTCGGCTTTGAGCTCGACATCGTGCTTCTTGACTCACCTCTCATAAACCGGAAGGGATCTCGTCTGCGCATGTCGCAGGGGTATTTGACGCCAGGTCTGGAGAACAAAGGTGCAAAATGACCTTAAAGACGGCAAGTGACGTCGAAAGATTGCTTCATTAGGCTCACTCTAATCTCCAGTAGTAATCGAGGTTATCGAGCATCGGATGGCGCCAGAAGAAGCCCGACTGATACCTGTGAAAAGGCATGCCGCCCGCAAGGGTTTGAGAGCATTTCAGCCATCAAGCAGCTGAGTGAGCCCTTGACGCCTCCATACACCCACCTGCACATTTTGCGATAGCTCAGACTATCGCCGTACAACATTCCGCCTGCCTTCATCTTCTTGAAGCCTTCATACATGCGCGTCTGATCGATCCAGCTCGGTATGTCCCAATGCTCCTTTGGTATTTCCGCAAAATGAGCCTCAACGCCAGCGCTGGATGCGACAGCCTTGATTTTAGATTGGAACCATGGCGAAAAGGGCAGACCTGGATCGGAGAGTAGAATGTATGGATACCGCGCATGTTTTTCGCCATTGAATGCCATCTGAACTTCCCAAATCGTCTTGAGTAGCGAATCCAATTCTACTTCGCGAGCCAGCATCACGAAGGCTGCTCGAGGCTTGCGACTGTCCAACCTTGTGCCATCGCTCCCAATGATGGGCTTCTTGGGCAAAGGATTGAGCTTGGACAGATCCAACTTGGGCGGCTTGTATCCCGGCTCTGTAATTTCGAGCGCGTCGCCTCGGTACCAGCTCAGCCAGAGCACGACGAGACACACGATGCAAAGAATGGCAACCTTGGTGCGCAACAACATCTTTAAGGTTGCGCTCGCTGTATACTCCTCCCTCCTGATTTTGAGGGCACAAGGCGTGCAGGAGATGCGGTCTGAGCTCTTGCGGATTCTGTCCACAACTTCGTCTCGTGTACGGTATGCTTGAAGATGGGCTATCTTCAGTAATCAGTACCTCGAAGGCCCGCCCGCATGACCCTTGAGAACCCTTCGCAGCGCTCGGCGGGCTGGGATGCCTGGGTCAGACAAAGGTGTGTACCGGTTTTTTTGGCGCAGCGAACGACTCGGTAGTCTCGAGCCTACGAATCTTCTCAAGTAGTCTGCGAGTTGCAGCAGCAGAGATGCATCCACCAATCTGCTCTTGGTGAGCAAGTCATGAATCATGAATGTGAAGGTTTAAGTTCACCTCTGGTGAGAAAGTGCGATCAGCCAGCATGAGTGGAGCTGCTTGTTTATCTCAGACCCGCGCTGCTTGCCCGATTCCCACCTCAGCCCTGTGGTGCAGCCGGGTGCAGAGTCAGTCGCTCATGGGATTCTTCCAAAGGAACACATACAGTCGTGAGTATCCAGTGCGAGCCGAGGCAGTGGTCCTCGATCTCGATGTGACCGGCCGGCTAGCGGATGTAGCTGCATACATGCAGCTGCATAAACGATCCCCGGGTCTTTGCGCCGACTCGTGATCGAGTATTATAGTAGGGGGATAAAAGAGCCGCAAGCAGCCTCTCATATGAGCGGCATAACTGCAAAGGTCAAGCCACGGCACCTGGGCCTGTGACAGCGCTCCGCCTTGCTGCGCTAGCTCAGACTCACACTCAAAACTCATGCACTCCACTCACGAGTACCGGTACGACGCACTAAGCTTCGACAGCTCGATCATCGTCCCTGTGAGGCGCGTCGCGCGACACGCGTTAAATAGCGACGCGATGCATAATGCATGACATCGAGTTCGTCACGCACGACCGTCGAGACCTACAGTGTGAGTATCGTATATCTGCAGTCACGAGTGTGAGCTTGAGTCGTGACCAACGATCGCGATCAGCTCAAGACGGCAGGACGCATCGAAGGGAGACTAGACTGCACAGCAATCGCGGTATACGGCTGCTCGGAGGTGTTGGAAGGTGGAGACCGCCACGAATCAATTTGTGAGCGGTGCGTGTGTCGGAGTAGCGCGTAGACATGTATTGACTCGTCGCGCGACCAGTAAGAGGTTGTAAAGTGAGGCGTGTGTGCGCGAGCCGCGCGGTGTTCAGTCTGTGAGTCGTGAGTCGTGAGTC